GTCTTAAAATGTCTAAAATCCAATAAAATTTATTAAAAGATCTTAGGAAACATTTGTATTGGGTTGGTGAGAATTGATGCGACGGCCAGATCTGCTTATAAAACATATAGAGATGAGAGGACGAAGAGAGAGAGTGGAGTTGAGGCTGCAGTCCGAGGCTGAGATGAACACAAACACACCCTCACGTGGTCAGTGCATCTGTTGCTAGGGCAAATAAAAAGATGAAAAACTGTATTGGAGTCAAATTCCTGAGAATGACACAAGGTATTTTATCAAACACACCTTGAGAAAATAACCTTAATAAAGTCATAGTGACGTCATCAAGATTAATGCGTTTTGGGACTGGAGACTATAAATTTATTACAGAAAAAAACGGGGCGTGGAGTTTGAAAGGCATTTCTGGTATATACCAGGCAGAGAGGGTCTAAAAAAAGACAATTCAATTGCATTATGGGAGATGTAGAATCCAATGTTTTTGAAACTTAACGAGGGGCTAAAAAGTATATCCAGGTCTCAGCTGTTTTAATCTCAACCATTCTTGTTTGAATCTGTCCTTTGTGAGGCCTTCCAACTGTATGGAAGTGCAGTGCTAAAATGTTGTCGGATCTGGTGACATCTAGTGACATTTTGAATTAGATTACAGTTCAGCCTTCCAAGTGTGTCCGAGAAACCACGGTGGTTGATATCTACATCCACTGTTTGGTTTGTCTGTTCTGGGCTACAGTAGAAACATGGCTGTTCGACATCACCTGGAAATGCTGTGTTGCACACCACAGCATTTTCAGGTGATATACTAATGACTGATTATACACTAGGGAGATCTATTGTCAGAAATGGAAAATAATATGCATTACTATATTTTCGTTATTGTATACTCACCAAAGACTGTATAATTACGTTACTATGAGACGTTATTTTTATCTGCCCCTGCCATTGCCCAGTCATTATTTGTAATATGTAACATTAATTTACAACTAGTAAACCGGTAACACACTGTGGTTTTCTTTTCTTTTCTTCTGTCTTTTACAGTCAGTAAAAGCACTAGCGGTCAGAATCCTGCCTTGGGGGAAATTTTACACAGCCATTACTGTCCCTACTGTCTGACAGGACACTCCAACCAGGTTCTCGCGAGAGCAGCTATCCGTATGTTTACAAGCAGTATTTATTAGCAGCAGTCTCCCCCTACAGTCACTGATTTACTGTCCGGCCAAGCGAATGTTCAGAAAACGCGCTGCTGCTGGGAGAGACATTACCCACATTTCGTCTTTGACAGTACGGCTGGTGGCACCTTTCCTTCGGGACACATTTTCATTCGCCCACAAACGCCCAGTCTGGTGTCGTTATTTGCTGCCCAAGAGGAAGAGCGGGGAAAGGAAGAAATAAGCTAGCAGGTCATCGGCTCGGGTTTGCTCCGCAGGGGTGGCCAGGTAAGACAGAAAACCGACCCTTGACTGGCAGCTAATGTTAGTCGATAACCCGTCTGACAGCTGCTATGAAATGACATTATTTGTATTACACGGTAAAATCATAGTCAGACGAATTTCAGCAGTCGGTCTGTATTTGCTTGCCATCCGTTCTTTACCCCGCGAGAACTGAATGTAGCTCGTGCAGTTTTAACACTATCTTGTGCAGGACTGATGCGGTGCCCTTTAATTTTTGCTACATCAACGGTAGCCATGGTTACTAGCCATTTCTCCGGGTCCACAGAACCAGTACCAGGTCAGACGGGTAGAACTATTTTGCTCTTACTGCCAGCAAGCTTGTAGGAATAAGCAAGTATTGTATTGTGAAACTGCACGTAGCGTGGGGTTCGCCCGTTTGCTCTGCGGTGGGGGATCGAACACGGCAGCGTAAGTGTTAGCTGGAGGAGACAGTGTGGAGATCGATGCACTACGCGCCTCAGTGGCGAGACGCATGTGGCTGCTTACTGTGTCTTGTCCGTGTCTTCTTTCGTTACACACGTTCCGTTTGTGTGTCTCTGCGGAGAGCTCACACTGAACCTTTCCTGTAAAGAAATCAGCATGCTGCTGATGTAAAGCATTTTGTAATATGTTTCTAACAGTGCATTTATAAATGGTTCATATTGTCTCTCAACATAAGTAGCTGCTATTATTGAATTACATTAATTGCACAATACTATAATAGCAATAGTAGCAATGTATGAGATCCAATAGCAGTAATGTTGAGTGATAATGTAATTTCTTTTCTGGCAGAGGCATTTGTGTTAGGGATGGACTTTCTTTCAGAGACATTACAGATACCAATTATTAATAATCAAGGAAACCATGCACCAATATTTGGAACTGATATACATTTGCACTAAGAATAAGAATCTTAACCAGTGGTGGAATGTAATTTACACTAGTACATTTACTGAAGCACTGTACAGAAGTACAATTTTGATGTATTTCCATGTTATGCTACTACATGTTATACTTTTACTTTACTACATTTATTAGAAATCTTTAGTTGATAGTTACTTTGCTCTTAAGGCCATTTTGCACTTTTACTTTTGGTAAGTGCATTTTAATATGTGGTCTTATGGAGACTGACTCACTTCCGGAGCCAGCCTCAAGTGGTCATTAGAGGAACTGCAGATTTTGGCACTTCCGTTTTGGCTTCATTTACAGTAGCTGCTTCAGCCACAGAAGTTACTGCTTGAGTTAAAACACGTTTGTCCAGGTGACTCACCTATGCTCGTGCATTCTCAGGTGCCTGATAAAGTTTAATGTGGTTGATCCTCAATCCTATATTTTGATACAGCTCAGGGTGATTCTTTTGTTTGGTGACTTGTGTGAAGTAAAGAGAGGAGCTGATAGAAGCTAGTTGATGAAATGTTAGTGTTTGATATAAAAGGATCTATCTCTCCTCCCTCTCTGCTGCCGCACTTCACTATAGCCTGAATTATGTGCTTCTGGAAGTCATAACAGTAAATGCAGTTTTGGCAGCTGGCAGTGCACATTCTTCATCTGCTTTTTCAAAGTGTATGTAGCAGTATGCTGCAAGTTTTACTCATTTATTAAAAGTTGTATTTGTATGCAATTTCTGTACAAGAGATATATCTATAAGTGATGTCTGACTGCATTTTTGGTCTCTAGGGAGTAGTTCTTCTTTGGTTCTGTGTTCGCTGCTTTGCTAGTTTGATAAACTTAAAGGATTAAATGATACAGCTGGTGTGAAATTTATTAGTCCATCTTTCAATACTTTTTGACTTTCATACCCAGCTCACTGGTTCCTGCTGTAGATGTGAATCTTTAAAGGAGTCATATTATGCCCATTTTCAGGTTCATAATTATATTTTGTGGCTCTACTACAATAGGTTTAGATGTTTTAATGTTCAAAAAACAAATTTTTCTCATACTGCCTATAACAGCCCTGCTTGAGGCTGCCTTTTTCAGCCTCTGTCTAAAACGCTCCGTTTTACTTCTGTCTCTTAGGCCCCCCTCCCGGAAGCCCAGTCTGCTCTGATTAGTCAGCCATTTGACGTGGATGATGCTCCGCCTCCCACTCAGCCGTTACAGCGTGTTTGGCAGGTAGCCCTCACCCTGTTACTGAGTGAGCTGCATTTCTACCGTCAATATTAATTCAATAACCGCCTTCTAAACCAAAAACTTCACCAGCGGACATGTTAAGCGGGAGTCTGACCTGAAATCATGGAGAAAGGAACAACATCAACCATCAGCGATACAGCTTCTGTGACGTTTTCCCCTCCGGTAATACTGCTAACGTATTAATCTCTCTCTATACATAATTTAGGTTAGTGTTTATATCTTAACTATGAGAACCAACACTGTGTTTTATGCTTGTCTTTACAGGTACAGCAGTGAGCAGTGACCCTACAGTCTACAAGGCCCAGCTGAAATTAACATATTTATTGGGAGGAGCTAAAAGAGTAACGTGTTAGCATGTGCATGTAGTAGTATAAATGTAAACAGTAATTACCCAGATGTGCGGTCTGTTACCATACGAAACAGACGACATGTTTTAGTGAGAAACAAACAGTAATTGTACCAAAGCTAACTCGAGTCCACCGCCCCTATATGATTACTGTAACCTCCTACTGTTATATTCTTATCCTATACCATTAGTTACTGAGACCATGCAACTTAACATAATGGAGGCAGAACCTGCCTGGAATACTTTATCCTGCTACAACATGCTAAGCATAACTGAAGCGAATTACTCTTTCAAGTGTAACTTGCTTATGTAGTTGAAAAACCGTAAAAAAAGTACCAACTGTGGACAACGGTTGGTCCATTTTCATAGCTAAATCTGATATTTTAACAATATTACCAGTTAACCTCAGATATTTCTAAAACCTGCAATCTATGTTTAACATCTTTCAAAATGCTCGTATATATTACCTGAATATTGTATCAATTTATATTACTGTATCATTTATATATATTATGATTTCATTTATCTGTCACCTAATAAAGTTGATGTGAGACCAGAAATGTATGTTGTTGCTTACCAGTCATTTTTACAGGTTTAATTTCATTATCATATTGATAGAATGTTACATGGACCCATGGTTTTCAGCTCTTCCCTACATGCAGGAAATCTTATAAACCTCCTGAAATAAATGTTATTTATATAAAACAGCACTATTACTTAATTTAAAAATGAACTAAAACTATTTATTAATTAAAATAAAACACTTATTCATGTTTCATTCATATTCCAGTTCACATGTTGCAAGTAAGTAAAAGTTACCTTTTATGTAACTGTGCAGATCATGTCCCCCATCCAAGGTTTAATGGTTTCTAGTATACTGAAGGTGTCGAGCTGTAATGAAGCTCTGCAGTCGCGTTCATCTTGATGCGTCTTCTTTGGAATACGCGCGATTGTCGCTGATGCTGCAGCTGTCTCCTGTCCTCTGATGGTGCCAGAGCACCCTGAGGGCTTGCATCCAGGTCATTTAGATCCACCTGGTAAAACATGGCAGATTCACTATATATATACAGTATAATATAATCAGTACAAGTACAACAGCTCATTGGTGGCTCAAAAGTAGTCCTAAATAAAATAATAAAGCAGGGTCTCCTGGTGGGTCCCTTGTTGCCAGCTAACTTGTAGTCGATGAGTTGTTGAAACAGTCTGATATTACCAAACACCAAATGTGTAGGCTATGGAAGCTAAGGCTGCTCCAATTAATCGAAATTTGATCATGATTACGATTTTGGGCAAAAAAAGCGAATCTCAAAAAACGAATAAAAATCGGGGGGAAAATTTCTTTTTCATTTTTGCTGTTGTGCAACATTGTGATACAGTCTGGCGATTTCGCGCAATGTGTATTTCCGTCCCTCCCCCACAGCATGCAGTGGCACACGAGTCCATGCGCCTCTCCTAATACCTCCGCCGTTCCCGACCTGTTGCCGCCGACCAATGTGAAGTCACGGGAGCAACGCGTAGCTAATTTAATACTTGGGCTGGTGGTCGCGACACTAGTTTGCAGTCTTCTCCTGTTACCTTAAAGTGTTTTTTGACCAAATGTCCAATAAATGGCAGCATGTTTTCTGAAGTTTAAAAAAATAACGTTTTGAATAATTGTGAGTTTCAATTTGGACCCAAATAATCGTGATTAAATGATTTTTTCCATAAATCGAGGGGCAAGCCTATGGCAGCCAGATAACACACAGAAGGAAACATATTACTGAGCTGTAGCTGATGTTTTGTGACAGTTCCCCAAAAGTGGCAAAAAAACAGACGCTTTAGCAGTGG